TATTTCAAGCCCAGCCGAAGCCAGGATGTCTTGTTATGCTGCATCTCCCAATTTGATAATCGTACACTGCCATGACTCATAGCACAGGGACATTGGTCAGCCTGTTAGCTGGTCGATGCTCATGATAAAAGGACACAGCGAGACACGCACACAAACACCAAACATATCACACAGCCTACATCTGGCAGACAGTGCCTTCGACCCTTCGACGGCGGTGGTATCTCCTTCTCTCACGGAATCACAAATCTTTGTTTGGACAACGAGTGGGTACAACCTGGATTTCCTGCTACATCTATCGGCGTACATCTATACACAGTGCAGTACTACCGCGGCGGCTGCGAATACTGGATTCCTGGACGTGTTCACCTGAAGGAAAGCCAAGAGAACCTGCGAGCAGGACTTGGCTCCCTAGTGACTTCCTAGTGACTTCCTAGGTTCGGACGAGGGATGTGTGGAGCTATGGCAGTGTATTGTGTTGCTATTTTGTCTGAGAGTGTACGATTATCAAATTGGGAGATGCAGGATACATACCACGATATCCTGGCTTCGGCTGTGCTTGAATTAACCCTTTTGCTGTCCTCCGCTCTTTGCATCAGTGGCCTCCTAGGTTCGGGCGAGGGCATGTGTGGAGCTATGGCAGTGTATGAGTTGCTATTTTGTTTGAGTCATCTAGCTGCTGACACGATGGCTGTTGGAAATTGGGAGATGCAGCATACCACGATATCCTGGCCTCGGCTGGCCTTGAAATAGACTAGTCTAGTCTAAAACCCTTTTGCTGTCCTCCACTCTTTGCATCAGGTGCTTCCTAGATTCGGGCGAGGGCATGTGTGGAGCTGTGGCAGTTTATGTGTTGCTATTCTATTTGAGTCATCTAGCTGCTGACACGATGCCTACTGTTGGAGCGCGCACGAGGTCCCGGCAAAAATTGAATCGATAGTCTAGACTACCCGCTTGTGGTGGCTGAAACGGCTGAAAACATGTTCAATAACCGTTTTTGAGGGCACGATCGGTTTAGCGGGAAACCGGGGTGCACCCGTGTCACGAGATTTTATAACCGCTATTCAGGGCTTCCCGCTAAACAGGGAACCGCTAAACCGGGCCCACGACTGTACATGAAAGGTATTTGTCAAGAGCATCGATTTCTGTGACGATGATGTTCATTCAATGTGTGTAAAGGACCGTTTTAAACGGACCGACTTTTTTGTCAAAATTTTCGACAGTTGTCTTTCAAAAACTTGGAACCTGTGTGCAGTCATTTTAAACGTGTGACGTAGACTTGTGCAACTTGTGTCAAAAAAAATGACGCCGTCCGTGAGTTGTAGCGCTCACTTCGAGACAACACAGACGACACAACACAAACCGCGGAAAACACGACATCATGGACACCGACATGGATATCACGACCACCCAGCGTGGCCGGCAGACCAAAACCCCGGCGAAATTCCAGCAGACGGGCTCTCTCGGTGCCGCCGTAGGCGGTGGAGGCTTGCTCTCCAGCAAGATAGTGCTGCTGCCTGGCATCTCGGGGAACACTCATGTTACCACGGGAGGCGCTGCCGCCACCAACACTCCGCCGGCGAGGGGTGGCAACCACTGCTCCTACCCCCCCGGGAAAAGGAAAAAACAAAGCGGCGGACGCGAAGCAACAACTGCAAGCCATCATGGCGGACCGCCGTTTTTTTTTTTTGTATTGCGCGTGCCCGTGGGCGAGGAGAGCCGCTCGAATCTGTAGGCGCGCCGCGCTTTCTACGGTCGGCCATGACCCACACACAACCCTAGCTGACTTTCTACGGTGAGGGGCACTCGTGGTGCAGACGCAGCAGCCCTCGCGTGCCTCTGCAAGGGTACTTTGGAAAGTGCTCCAAATACTTTGAGAGGGTTGTCAAAAAGTTGGAACGAAGTGGAGCAAAGTTTTCGCGCCCAACTTCGTTCCAAATATTTTGAAAAAATATGGACAAACGCCTCCATACAGGTTCCATTTTTTTGACACTTTCAAACATTTTGACAAAAAGTCGGTCAGTTTAAAACGGCCCTAAGTCTAGACTATGAGTGAGCGGGCCGGTACTACTGGACTGGAGGTGCGGGTTCGAGACAGGACGCTAGACGACCCATGTAATGACTTGTGACTTCCGTGGCTCGAGGAGCGGAGATTCCACCCGCACTCATTCCCGTGATATGCGTGAACCAGCATAGTGTGTCAAAAGGGAAGCGTCAAAATGCGCGCCACGGCCATCTACCTTTTGTTTGTTTGAATGAGACACAACGATTCCATCTCCATCTGTGCACAATAGACTATTAGCAATAGAGTCACGGAATCAGCGAAACTGGACATGTTTTTTTGTTTTCTTTTCGCTCACAGCTTGCTTTCCCGGGGAAGACCCCAGCAGCGAATATATTAAAGCAGTATAGTCTATCAATGAATAATCCTGCAAAGTTTTCGAGCGAGGGCGGGAGGAGTGTTCTGCGCAACATGAACACAGAGCGTACCGTCTCAGAGTTGTTCCCTGCGGGTAAAGCCGAACACTAATCAGCAATAACAGCGTGCATACCTACTTAAACGGACAATTCGGAGGGCAGGCCCAAGGACGAACAAATCGCCACCTCTAAAGGGTACACTCGTAGCCTTGACGGCACGGTCGAGGACCCAACGCGGACGCCAATACACTTCTGTCGAAAAGGTCACTTGCAATATCTACAGGTTTGATGTTGAATGAACTCCAACAAGTCGACATTTACTAGTGGCTAGGAGACAGAGAAGGTAACCTCGGGCTCACGGCCAAACACCTCGCCACCATCACATGCTACAGCAAGAGGCGCCGAAGCAGCGTCAACAGCGACAACACCGTCCAGTTTGGAACTCTCATCGAAGTTTGACATTGGGGTGGCCTCCCAGACAGGTGGAACCATACAACGAGCCCTCCCTTTCAAATCGCCTTGACCCTCCTGAGAACGTTCGGCGGTCGAGACCGCGTCGATTGGAAGCGGGCTCGCAGAACCATCACCAGCAATACGCCTTTCCCTTCCTTCGTCACTACACGACAACGAGGAAACCTCAACACCACCTCCATCATCTACCCCTTGGCCTACTAGACACGATGGCGGCCAAGAATCGACCCTCCCGAGAGAATCGGCCGACACAATCGCTTTGCTGCCCCTCCCCGTCTCCTTGCCCCCCTCTGTGCCGGGTGCCACTTTACCCGTGCTCTCGACAACACCATCCCCTTGGGGCGGCTGCACTGGATCCATATCGCCCGCAGAGGCAGCGACGCTCTTGTACCCAGATGCTGCAGGTACGTCGGCGGTAAAAGATCGACTCTGGGAGTCGGCGAAGGCAACGGTGGGAGCAATCACGCCCATCGCGCCTCCCGAGCGCGAGCGACCCCCGCCGTTATCGTCGGCAGGAGGAGGAGGCACGGGCACCGAAGCAGCGCGGCAAACGCGGGCACCACCAAAAGCACAAGGTCTAGTATCGCCGCCGGGGTCACCGGCACCACCAACGCCAGCGGAGGGGGCAGCAACGTGATCCGAATATTCGGACACGGCGCCGCCGTTGACTCCGCTCCGGGACGGGCGCCAGCGGCGCAGCAGCAGGGCCGTGTTCGCCGACCGCAGATCAGCGGTGCTGCTGCCTGCCGCCGAGGTCGCGGGGCGGGCCTGGGCGTTGCTGCTGCCGCTGCTGCTCCACATCCGGCGGGCGGTGGCCCCTCCCCCCGGGGCCGACGTCGGAGAACCTGTCGAGGCTAACTTCGCAGCCGCCGCTGCCGCTGCCTGCACAACGGAGAGTAACAATTCATCGGGAGGTAAGGTGCGGCCACCTGGTGTCTGGGGCCGCGGGTGGTGGGGTGGGTGGGAGGTGCTCCGGCCATGAAATGGCAAGAAAACTGCTTCGCCATACCTCCTAACCCTAACCCTGACCTTAGCCAAAAGAGCGTCAGGCCGAAAGTACCATAAACATCATCTCGTTCGGGCCCTTCGCCGGTGGAGCTTATCTTGGCATTTGGGGCAGCGAAGGATATCATGGAAATGTGGATGTTCAGGCATTGATTCCACAATTTCCAAAAATAAAGGGGACGCATCCATCGATGGTGAAACCACCAAGACAATGGAAGCCTCGGGGAGTTCGTGGGGGACGGGGTTGAGGAACGTGGCCCAAACACACGGCACCTCGGACGAGGCCAAAACGGACGTGCGACATAATTCACAAACGAAGGCGAGGGAAATTCAAAAGGACGGGGACCACAACGAAAACACCGACCCCTCTCGAGCGACCACTTTTGCCGGGCGGACCGCGGGCTGATTGTGTATCATCCTTTTGCGTTCGGAGGGCATGGGAACGCACCTCCGCTGCCTTGAGCCTCTCCACGAGCCTAGCGTTCGACGAAATCAGCGCTTCGTGGGCGCTGAGCAGCATCGACCGCATTTCTGCAGCGAACTCCTGCCGAAGAAGTTCGATAAGCGACAGCTTCAAAGAGCGACAGCTTCAAAGAGCGACAGCTTCAAAGAGCGACAAGTTCAAAGAGCAGCACACCACAAAGTGATGAAATATAGAATCTCACAACAGCGACAAAAGCGAGCGAGCGAAAAGAGATGACGGATACTGCTGCGTGTTTGACAGGCCCTCTTCGGAAGGGTAGCGTACGGAATCACGTTACAACAGCAGTTAACTTGTTTGATTAAGCAAGGGAAACCGACAGAAAATGGAAGAAGGTCTTTGAGCCCCCGCAGCATTGGAGTCACAAACCAAGAGGGACACTCGAAGAAACGCTTCTCGGATCTTCGCCGGCAAAGCAAAAATCTTGTGAGTCGAACTGTCCTGAAACCCATGTCCTCAGAGGAGGCATGCGGAGAATGTATACGGCAACTCTTCTTCCTCCCTCCACACACTGACGACGCGCGCTGCAACACGGAGACGACCACTCCAGAAGCATCAACCCAATGCCAGCCGTTCTGAGGGCAATCCCAGGTTGGGAAACCTGAGATGAGTGTAAACGTGGTGGGTACTTTTGTCGCTGGGCGAACCGACATCGCAAAAAAAACGGTCTGTTTGAAAACGGTGAACCTGCCGATAGAAGAAAATTCAAACCCAAAGCCGTCAAGTGGCGAGAAATACCGCGGAACGTTGACAGCACTTTCGAATAATTCTGAACACATGCACACGCCCATCTCTGCTTCGTCACGCCAGTCACATGATTTTCCAACCAAAACGAAAATACACAGAAAAAGCCTCAACAAAGCCGGGAACGCCTGTGTACCTTGGACCCCTCGTGTAGCCTCTGGTCGAACTCCCTCTCCCTCGCGGCCCACCTCGCATCGAAATCCCTCTCTCGCGCGCACCACTTTGCCTCGAACTCCCTCTCCCTCGCCCACCACCACTCTGCCATGTCACCGTGCGCCGGGAACCACATCCCCCCCGCGTCTGCCGCCGCTGCCGCTGCCACCTCACCCTCTGCAAGCGCCCGGCCCCCAGCCGCCGTGATCGCCGATTCCTCCTCTCCGCGACGCACACGGGCGAACGCCGGGCGCCCCGTCGAGGGTGCAACTAGGACGGCCGCCACCGGGGAAGCCGACCGGGCGGCGGGGGTAACGTCGTCGCCGCACTTCGTGTCCGTCGGCCCTTTCGGGCCACCGCAGCCGCTTCCGCCGCCCCCCCGGCTCTCGTCAGCGCTCCCGGCACAGTCTCCATGTCCGCACCCGGCGGTCCTCCCTTTACTCCCGGGGCAACAAGGGAGGTCACGTGCCGTGCGGGCTGGCGTCGTCGTCGTCGTCGGGGTGAGTGGTGACCTCGGAGCGGCGTCCTCGACCGCGCCATCGCCGTCGCCAACACTGATCGCCAAGCTGCGGCGGCCGCCATCCACGGCGACGCCGTCGGCGGCGGCGGGGGCCGGGCCGGCACCCGCATAGAGGAGGCCAAGCCTTTGGGAGCTCCGACGAAACGCCTCCACGGCGCGCGCTGCTGCCGACCCGCTCGCCGCTGTCGCGTACTTCTTGCTGCTTGTGGTGGTGGTCGTGGCGGTGGCCTTGGAATCGCGGGCGGAGGAAGAGGAGGGGGAAGTGGGCCGCGGCGGCGGCGGTGGGGCCAACGGCGTGCCGACGCGTGTGAGCGACTCTCTGGTGGTACCTAGCTCGCGCCAGAGGGCGGCGAGGTCGTCGTCACCGTCGCCACCGCCGCCACCACCACCGCTGCCGCTGCTTGGCTGCTCTACCGCTGTTGCTGCTGCTGGTGTCCACGGAGCGGCCACTCCGGCGACGTGCGGCGGCTCCTGGCGACGAGGATGACGATGCCCGTCATCATCAGCGCAAGCCCTCCCGCCCAAACGACCCCCGCCAGCATGAGGCATCCGCGTTTTGCCGCCCAGATCCTCTACAACAACGGCTTCCTCGCCCGCGTCGCCGCCGCCGCAAACGGTTTCGACAAGGTCGACGCCATCTTCGAGATGAAGAGAGACCAAATCGCCCCCGGCTAAGCTGCTGTTGCTGCTTCTGCTGCTGCTGCGGCCCTTGCCGGCGCCTTGGGCGCCGGAGAGGTCGCGCTTTCTCCTGGCCCAGTCAACTACGATCCCAGCCGGGTGTTCGGAAAGGGAACGCCCCTTCTCCCTTCGACAGTCAGCGCGGCCCCCGCCACCCGCCGCTATTTCTACGACGTGAAGTTCGCGGGAGTCCCCCCACCGCCGCCCCCTTCCAGGAGCGCCACAACCGCTCTCTCGGGGCTCGGCCGCACCGCTACTGCCACCCACCGAACGTCCCCACCCGTTGTCTCCACGTTTCGAGGAATCATCGTCACAACTCGGTGTTTGAGAGGATATATTAGGTCTTCCCACGACGGGTACGGCGACTCGCCCCTCTGGGCGAAGCCCGGCAGACGAAAATTGCGCCGCCGTAGCCGGTGCAGGGAGGCAAAGCCCCCCACTTCCCGCCTCCGCGACGTCGTCCTTTCGATTGCGTCGGGACAGCCGCGCCACGCCCGCCTCCGGTGAAAAGCTCTGGTTGTTGTTGCTGTTGCCAGATCTTCGTGCGCTCATGGTTGTTGTTGTTGTTGTTCTGAGACCGTCTCCTTCTTCTCGTCGCTCTGCGCTCGCCAAGCCTTCGGGCTCCCCCGTTTTCGAGCGAGGACTTCGGGCGGATGTGGCGGGCCTTGCGGGAAACCGAGCGGAACCTCGCTGCTGCCGCTGCTGCTGCTGCTGCTGCCGCTGCTGCTGCTGTTGCTGTTGCTGCTGCCAATGCTGGTGCTGGTGATTGTGCTGGTGCTGGCACTGCTGCCCCCGCCGCGGTCGGTGAGGCAGCCGCTCGTCTTCCCTCACCCCCCGACCGTCAAGGGTGACAAGCTGCGGCAACACCGCGACGACATCGGCCCGGGGGCTGCCGCTGCCTCTGTCGCCGCTTCTCCCCCCGCCGTGCCTGCGCGAGGCAGTCTCCATGACCGGGTTACGGCGAAGGTCGAGATTCCGAAGGTCTCCAAGGCAAGACAGTCGCCCGACCTCGTCGATGCTTTCCACGCGGTTCTCACGCAGAACCAAGGTTCCAAGCGACACCAGGTGCTCGATGCCCTGGCCAAACGCGAGAAGGGGGCGGGGGTGGCTCAGAGTGTTGCTGGTTGGGGGAGTGTGTCATCAGCTAAGGTAGTGCGGCCAAGTTCGTGGCTTTCCTCATTGCCGGAGAGGGGAGGGCTTACTCCGTTATTCCATTCGAGCACACATGAACAGTGTAGGGCAGACTTGAAGTTATGAGAGAGGGCCGGCGATGATGGCTCCGGGGGGGTGGAGATGTATGCAATGGGTCTGTAGAGACCTTCCTCGTTGTGAGCGGAAGGGAAAAGGGCAAGAGCATTTAGCGCTTTCTTGAGCATAGATCAGTCTAGAAGCTAATGGTGAACATCTCATCTCTTAGGAATACTTCTGGGGCCGCGCACGATGACTAGAGACAAACGCTGAACGCGACTTTGCGATCAGAAGCCGCACAGCCTCGAAGCTGAAGGTCTCGCAATTATTGCTGCAACCACCCAAACCGCAAAAGCGACTGCTTGTTGTGGCACCACCTTAAGCGTTTCCCGAAACATGCCAAAACACACGTCTTGATCGGATGTTCAAGCTATCGTGAAGGCGGCTAAATTCCCTGTGCTACGCGATTGAATCATGGGGCCGACGGCTTCGCTATGGCGTGCGCGGACGCTCTTGGTTCACCGGGGTCGTCGCCGGCGCGACCGTAGCTGCGCTGCCCCCCGCGCGCCGGGGAAGCCGGCGCAGCCGCGGGGGCGGTGGCATGCGGCTTGTCCCGCGCCAGACAGGGGGGCGCTTCGCAACGTGGTTTACGCGTCGGGTGTGTCTGTGTCAGCCACTCATTGTCGGCCAACACTCACCAGCAACGACGAGAGAATGTTCCGAGCGAGGTTGAGATACACCAGTCTCCGCAGGCCGCCGAGAGAGCCGCGCAGGGAGCGTATGCCCTCCCCCTCGAGGCTGAGGCTCTCCACTTCGGCTAGGCTCCAGCCTGACCCCCGCACCACCTGCCACATCAGCACCAGCAAGTTAATGTGTGCAGCGAAGCCTTACTCGCGCATGGTAGCTTGTGCCTACAACCCGTACGCTCCCAACATCAACAAGCGTGAGCGAGAAAAACAGCTGTTCCTCAGATGTATTCCATTCTTCAGCATGTCCCAACGCTTCGAACCGATACCATGCACACGTTCGCGTGCTATCAAAACTGCTGTAGCATGTCATCACCCCCCTGGAACCCCCCCGGTGTTTGCCATCGGGGTTGTGTTTTCGTCGCTGGGCAACGACGTTGTAAAACAAGCCAATTCACTTCGCGAACTCGGCAACAAGGTTACCGGGTTTTTTTTTTACCTCCGGTTATTTTTATGGCGGTAATCATAATGGTGGTCGAGTAGATCATGTTGTGCGGGGTCGAGAACCCTCGCTCCGCGCAAGGGGGATGATCGCACCACGTTGTGTTAAAATGGTCAAGCACCCTCGAGGCAGTTACACAGTGCTTACAACTGCCTCTGGAAGTGAAAGCACCAGAAAATAAATTAAGTCATACGCAGCTGTCATCCGTACGCAAGGAAGTGAGCACAAGATGCCGAAGATCCTTAGCAGCATGCAGCGCACCCTTCATGCGACTCGCCGAATATCTCACGGCGCTTCGCGCTTGGTGATGTGAGAGCCTGGTCCGGTGAGAACCCGGCGTGCTCCGTCCCGGCTTTGTAGGGATGCGAGGTCAATGGTCTAACGACTACGGCATGCACGACTATGAGTACACCCCCCCCCTGGAATATATTAAGCTTCACAAGGTTTCTCTCGTAAACGACGCGTTTACACTCTAGAATAATCGCCCGCGGGGCGCCGCGGGAGCTCGTGCTTCGGCGTGCTTGCCGCTGTTGTTGTAGCAGCCCCTTCTGTAGAGCCGCCCCGCCTGCGAGCATAGTATTGCTCGACCTCGACGGCTAGTGTAGACTATACTTCGAATTTCTCAGGGGGGTTGTACATGTACCCACCGGGGGGCAACACGTTACATCTCGAAAATCTGAACATGTCCAGTGCGTTGCACCGCGTTTGATGCAGAACCGAAGTACTGCACAAAGCAGCGTGTACCCGCAACTAGGTGCTACTGCCGTAGATGCATACCTTTTCCAGGAATGCCCGGGTGAGGTCGCTTGGCATGTTCTTGTCTTGGGCGCTTCCTGTCAACCTCGAGTCGCGAAGGGCCACAAGGGTCAGCAGATTGTTCAGCTACTGTACCTGCAACAAGATGCAGGGGGCGGGAGAAACCAAAGGGTCTGGTAGAAGTCAGGCTCCCCGGCAGGGAGGTACTCTAATGTTCTGCATGCCTCAGCGGCTAGATCATTGACTACGAGTTCTCGAGAGGACGAAGCATTGTTCCCACAGGATCGATCACCGATGGCCATTCGTTTCTTCCTACTTTGCCAAGGGTGGCTCAAATATGTCGTCCTTAGTCTATCTATCCTATCCACATCACTTCCCGCCATTTCAAACAACTTCCCATGCCGTAGTACAGCTACCGTCTTCTCCTGGCTATTTCATGCCTCAAACATTCCCCTACATCTTCCTTCTACATTTCCCAGCTCAGTCATGTACACTTTTCGCACCTTGTACAACGGACAGTCCGCAACTACATGAACCCGGTCCTTGCACTCGGAGCCGCAATCACATTTGAACTTGTCGTCTTCATCGTCTACCTTCCCAAATCTTCGTCTAGATTCTCGAAGGCCAATGTCCCCGGTCCTGAATTCGACCTTCAGCTGCATCCATGAATGTAGGTACTCCTTGAGCCCCATTCCTTCGTTCAATATTCCGTACACGTCTAGATCTCCCTTATCCGTGGTTTCTTTGGTAGATAGATAATGTTCGTTCTCGGCAGAAACAACAGATACCTGTCCTTGGACCCCTCTTCGACCTTCCGTTTCCAGTATATTACCTCCGTCAACTTCGACCTCCTTCCATACGTCGTCTACAAACATGACCCACTCGGTGGGTTGTCTATCCCTCTGCATGACCACTTCACCTTCCAAGGTATTTTTCGTCAACCTCTCCTATGTCGCACTTACATGCAATTTTGGGATCTGTGTGCTCTCTCTATCTAGGGCAATTGACAAAATGGGGTATACCCCGCGTGTTTGGGCACAAAATGGTGTTACGAAGTACGTTTTTTCGGCGTGGGGCGGAACGCCTGACGCCGGGTAGACGCCTTTAAACCGCCTTCTAGCGCTTTAACCCCATGCGCCAGGTCCTTAGAAAGGACACCCATATATATTCTTTCCTTTTCACCCACAGGAACACGGTCAACTAGGGCCTGGAAGAGGGGAGCTTGTCGGAGGACCCCATTTTGTTGAAACCGCGGGGTACACCCCCCTTCCTGCTAAAAGTTATATCTAGTACCCCATTTTGTTCACAAACGTACCCCGTTATGTGCAAGGCATACCCCTTTTTGTTCAGTGGCGACGCTCCTGCGGACTGTCAAAATGGCAACCAACAACCAACCGCAGACTACCGTAAGTGTGGCGACAGAAGATGTTGGGGTATGGTGTTTTGCGGTGGAACACGCAGGTTTCGCGGTCTGCGGATCGGCAAGAAGGCAGAAGATGTTGGGGTATGGTGTTTTGCGGTGGAACACGCAGGTTTCGCGGTCTGCGGATCGGCAAGAAGGCAGAAGATGTTGGGGTATGGTGTTTTGCGGTGGAACACGCAGGTTTCGCGGTCTGCGGACCGGCAAGAAGGCAGAAGATGTTGGGGTATGGTGTTTTGCGGTGGAACACGCAGGTTTCGCGGTCTGCGGACCGGCAAGAAGGCAGAAGATGTTGGGGTATGGTGTTTTGCGGTGGAACACGCAGGTTTCGCGGTCTGCGGACCGGCAAGAAGGCAGAAGATGTTGGGGTATGGTGTTTTGCGGTGGAACACGCAGGTTTCGCGGTCTGCGGACCGGCAAGAAGGCAGAAGATGTTGGGGTATGGTGGTCTGCCGTGCAACATACAGGCTTTGTGGTCTGCGGCGAGGCAGAGAGACAGAAGATACAGTGATTTGGTGGTCTGCGGTTGGTTGTTGGTTGCCATTTTGGCAGTCCGCAGGAGCGTCACCACTGAACAAAAAGGGGTATGCCTTGAACTTTGTGGGGTACGTTTGTGAACAACATGGGGTACTAGATAAACACTTGGAAGGCTGAGGGGTGTTCACCACGGCTTCGTGAACAAAATGGCGTCCTCCGACAAGTTCTCCTCTTCCAGGCCCTAGTTAACGCTTTTCCTGTGGGTGAAAAGAAAAAACAAGTTGGGTGTCCTTTTTTAAGGACCTGACGCATGGGGTTGAAGCGCTGGAAGGCGGTCAAAAGGCGCCTACCCGACGTCAGGCGTTGCGCCCAACACCGAAAAAAAGTACTTCGTATACCCTATTTTGTGACCAAACACGAGGAATGCCCCATCAATTGCCCCCGATCTACCAGGATGTTGCCGAGAACCGAGTAGCCTTCCAAACTGCCCTTGCCTGGTGAGCTCCTTGCGAACTGCCCTTTGCCTGGTGAAGTCCGGCTTATCGCAACCCCTCCTACCGTTTGACGCCATCAGCTCGTTACTTGCCAACAACTCAAGCATTTTCACTCCGTGGCCATTTACGTTGTCTTCTCCGTGCTGCCCGATCGCCTGTCACCTACTGGAAGCTTTCCCTACTCTGGAGTTAAAATCGCCCACCATGGCAACCTCTCCCTTCCTTCTGAACGTTTGAACATATTCCCCCATTGTCCAAATCCCCCCTTTGCCTTGTTTGCGACTTTCTTCGACGACCGTGGTACGTGTACGTTCCCTAGAAACAAATCTTTCTCACCCCGCGCCCCAGGTATCTTAAGCCATATGCTTTCCTCGGACTCCGTATATCCCACAACTTCCACCACATCAAACAAGTGGTCCTTGACCACGAAACCGACTCCCACCTGTTCTGCGGATCTATGCCCTTTCTTGCCTTCCCCACCCACCCTTATTTCCCGAGCTTGCTTTCGATGTCTCCATCCTTCAATTCCCACGTCTCCTGGACCCCCATCCATCTAGATCGCTTTGTTCTACTTGGTCCACTATTTCCAACCGTTTGCGCTCACTCCTTGCGAATCCACACACGTACCCCGATTCCCACTCGCAGCTTGTGCGTTCCCCTACTGGATATATTGTGCACTATTTCTCGACTTCTGCTTCTTTCTCGGCGTTCTCCTGAGCTGCCTGCTCGCCTCCCCCCCCCAGTCCCTTCTTTGCCTCCATCGACCTCGCCCCTTGTCTCTTTACCTTATCTAATTCTATCGTGTTCGCGATGAAAACCCTCCACTCAACTTCCTTACGTAGTTCGACAGTTTTTTTAAATAAACACCCATGAACTCTTTGCTGTCTCCCCTGGTAAATTCCACCTGGAAATGTTCATGCTCTCTGCCTACTTCTCCCCTTGCTAGGCAACGCAGTCCCTCCCTGCCGCAGCAGTTCTTGAATTCTATCCTCATCATGCCCCTTGAGATCCCAAACAGTAGCAATTCCAACCTTTCTCACACAGCTTCTGCATCCAACATTTCGGTTTCTTCACCATCCTCATGATCTCTACGCCAACTAGGCCGTGGCCACTTTTTTGTGTGCTTTCAGGAAGGTATACGGATACTCGGCCTTCCCAATCCAGTGTCCGGTGGGGGTTGCGGTTCCTTTCAATTCTTTTGCCGGCTCACCGGCGCTAAATAGCGCCTCCCACACGGGCTCGTAGTCTAGATCCAAGCCCACACCTCCTGGCACAAAAACCCCAGTCTTGTGCCAGGCAGTCTTGTGCCGGGCGCTCTGGATACTAAACACCCAGACGTCCCCCGACCACCCAATTAGTGATCTCGCGCGGAGGGGAGGGGGGGGGGGGGG